TATAAAATAAAAAAAAAATGAAATAAAATGCAATTAATTAAAAACAAAAATTAAATTAAAGGCAGAAAATATAATATACAATAAAATTAAATAAAATAGAACGAAATAAAATAAAATAAAATAAAATAAAATAATATAATATAAAATAAAATAAAATAAAATAAAATAAAATCAGATAATTGAATATACGATAAAATTAAATTAAATAAAATAAAAAAAACTGATAAGAAAAAATTAAAATAAAGAAACAATTCAAGATAAGATAAAATAAAATAAATTAAAATTAAACGTAAATAAATAAATGAATTATAAATAAATGAAATATACTGTGAATGAATGAATAAATAAATTCAATAATTTTATATAAAAAAGGAAAAGAAATAAAGCAATTCAAAATAGGATAAAATAAAATGAAATAAAATAAAATAAAATAAAATAAAGTAAAGTAAAATAAAGTAAAATAAAGTAAAATAAAACAAAATAAAACAATATGAAATAAAATAAAATAACGTTAAATGAAATAAAACCTGATAATTTTATATAATATAAAATTAAATTAAATACAATAAAAATAAATCTAACAAGAAAAGATTAAAATAATGAAACAATTCAAGATAAGATAAAATAAAATAAAGTAAAATTAAACGTAAATAAATAAATAAATTGTAAATAAATAAGTAAATAAATTGTGATTGAATGAATAAATAAATTTAAAAATATCAAACAAAAAAAGATCAAGAAAATAATAAAAATTAAATAAAATAAAATACAGTAAAATAAAATAAGATAAAATAAAATAAAACGGGATAATATAATACACAATAATATTAAATTAAACAAAATAACACGTAATTATATAAAATTAAATAAAAAGAAATATATTTAATTAAAATAATTATATATAAATAAATATTAAATAATTATAATATAGCTATAATTATATTATATTTATGTTAATAAAATCATTAATATATAAAATTGATATAAACATAATACATATTATGATAAAATATAATAATTATATTATAATCACAATAACATATATACAATATTTTAATTATATTATATATAATTACTATTATTATTGTTAAGTATATGGGTCATTCTTTTACAAACCGGACACCTTTTTGACCTCATCACCTCCGATTTGGCTGAAATTTTTTTTATGAGCTCCTT